GTTTGTTTTTCCTTATTTTTTTGCACAGTTCCTTAAGTGGTACGTTATTCTGGTTTTATTTGGTACTTATCTTATAGAATGTAGTCTCCAATGAGAGAACTCCTAACTGTATAGTTTGGAAAGTGTCTTCCTCGGAGTGTAGAACAAAGTCCACTAGCGTCTTTTTGCGTCTTACGCGAGTCCAAGTCCTTTTCTTGTACTTTGGACCACTTCAGCCACTGCTTCGTCGTAGCGTCAAGAAACCCCTTCACTACTTAGAGGTTTTCAAACAGCTGCACAAATCCAACCATTAACTTGTATCTCGAGTTAACAGATTAAGCTTCCAGTATTGAGATAACTTTTAACCCACTGCCCCACGTTGGGCGCCAAATGTGACACTTTAATTTGTTTCCCTCTCCTTGTAGAACTCAAATATTGCAGTCATTGCTGGGTCAGTGCGGTGAAATCTCTTTTTTGGGTACTTATTTTGCGGCCGTCCTTTTACTCTCTACGTTCGGGCGTGATTCTCTCTCCCTCACAACACGTGCCTACCCCTTATGTACTCTCTGCCGAGCCCCATGGGACAAGCCCATAACCCTTTGCTACACGTTGCGAGAGAAGCTCGTACACTGCCTGGCACTTCACCTTTCTAGACCTTCACGTACAGCAGAGCTGTTATTAGCTAGATCGCGGCAACTAGCATTCCTTTGTAAATGACTCAAATATTCGGATCCAACCTGACATRCATGTACGTAGTGGTTACATCGGACCTTGCTCGACTAAGCGCTCTTTCGAGAGCGAKCTTCAAGAGACAAGGCAAGAGTCCAGACTCCACGCTCAAACTCACTTTAATATGGGCGACGACAAAAAGGGAGAAATCAAGTCTCCATACGTTCATCCTTCCTCGTTTGAAAATGTAGATGATGYAATTCATCTACCAAACGTTACTAAACAGTTTTTGAGTCAGATCAAAGTTCTTCCAGTCCAGCCAAACGATGTATTCATTGCTTCGTATCCCAAATCAGGTAAAGTAGAGGTTGGCTAGGTGATCTTGCATTGCTTGACATCTAACAATAACATCGTTTTCTCTCGCAATAATAATTTCGATATCCAAAAATCGCTTAAAAGCGCTATATAGACGGTACGTGTACTGTATTTCTTTTCTTCTAAGCTTTATTTACAAAATGTTGGCATGAAACAATATCGACGTATGCTGTTCCGTGATTATGTTATGCTGCTAACGGCACAGAACGCTCTATGTCATGGGTAATGTTCCGATCAAAACTATTAATTTACAGCTCATCAATTTGCTGTATTGGAACTCACTAAAAAAGTTTATCCACAAATAGGTGAACTTTCAGAGAATATTAAAGTGAATTTAAAAGAGAATATCAAAGTTAGCCATAGTTTTGGCTCCCATTTAAACCAGCCTACGCTGTATTGTGAAATGTCGGATATAGTTTATGGAAATGATCTTGCAATGACCTTTGTAAKATTGTAAGACTCATGAATAATTTTAATTATCAAAATGAGGAAAACAGTAGAAATCACAACCGTGAAGAGTGTTGTAAATATTACAAGCACGGCACTTTGAGATTTTGCGACTGCCTGACGTTTATTAGTCACAGAGCTAAATGTCAGTCAGTCGATTTTTTTAAAAAACATCTTCGGAACAACCTTAATTTCAATTAATAGGACAAGAGAAATGGAATAAAGACCGTAATTAGGGACTTGTCAGAAATAAGCAGAGGGACTAGAGGAGGTGGAAATTGAAAAGTGGGTACTTGGAATAAGGTGGAAGTGAAATTTTCTAATCTCCCTATATCAGACGGACAAAATATCGTGGCCCACCCCCTCGCCCAAACCCAACTTCGACCATTACCTAAACAATTTATGATTGCCCCGAAGCAGCCAGTATCATTGATGGTACAGGACCTGTAATTGGACCATTGATAAATTTACCGCCATTATTGCAAAGAATAATAAAAACTATAATTATCAAATATAAAGTAAAACTAAATTCTTCCTTGGATTGAAAATATCAGTAGCTGTCTAGTAGTTCATGATTGAACGCATCACTAATCAAACCAGTTTCTCATCGATGCTTGAAGGAAAAAGCCGATTTTACGATTGTGAGTCCATGAAACCAGTAAGAAATCCAGATATTA